GAAGTACCTATCATTGAAGACGACAAATTAAGATTGTAGCTACGTAATATTGTGTTCTTCATGCGTACCTACTTTTTTGCAGTAATAAACTACGTATAATAATTTTAAAGTTATTGGCGGATTGCTACCATGTTTTCTGTGAGTTTCGGTTTTACGGTGTAACATAGAGATTGAGTGAGGGACGTTTCGGTTTTACGGTGTAACATGGAGCTTGAAACCATAGATCCTGAAACAGTGCCGAAATATGAACTCAAAAAACAAGGAGAGCTTAAAACTATTTAAGCGTGTAATAATATCTCACTTTAACAGTCGTGTATCGTTTCTCTTTATAAAAATGGTGGAACGAATTTATTGTTCTTCTCTTCACAAATGGTTTTGAATAGAAATCATGATACTAAAATAAATATTGCGAGATACAATAACTATTGAGTTTGTTAGACTCATGATTATGTTAAACAGTATGACATTGTTCTACTAAATTCTTCGTATATAGATGGTCTAAACAAATAGCATACATGCCAAATCGATGTTATATATCGGAAGGATTAGTTCCTGTTCAATTATTTAATATGCGAGTGTAATTCAAAATTCTATTTATAATTCATTTTTTCTCCAAAGAATGGAAAAAATATTACTTAATGATCTTTAAACTGTTTTCGAATGCTTCTTTTAATTTATAGCGCCTTACGACATCAATCTGGCGCGTGAGAAAAAATTAATGACCGAATGAATGGTATATAGATAAGAAGTTATTTAAACAACGTTTAGATGGTATGGTAAACAGGCATCTTAGGCGCCTTACTCACCGGATCGTTTCGTTTTCGTTTCTGTACCGAGTCTGTACAGATTTTTTACCCACTACCACTTCTTGACCGGCTCGGTTTTGGTACGGTAGCGTTTCCTTTTGTTTGCTACAGTTTTGTTTTTGGGGAATGACAGGACGGACTAGTAAATATAGTCAGTAGGGCGAGTCTATAAAATAAAATCTCTTCCGATTTCGGTAGCTGCCATTTTAAAGACAAGTTTAATATGCATTACGCTATTGTAGGGCAAAATGTCGCTATGTCTGTAGGAGCAGCCAGCGTTAGATATTTGACATTTGTCAAAAATCCGCATAAATGAGATCGTAAGTGTGATTGCAACTTACAGAATAACTACGCTGAGAGCTGTGTATCAGCTCAGCTCAGTGAGTAAGCTGTCAGTTAATTACATGGACTCGGTAAAGAATCTTTACAAATTTGGTACAGGAACAAAACCAAAGCGAGCCCGCACCGACGCTACAGTGAGTAAGGCGCCTTAGAAATAATCATCGAATATAGAATGACGAAAAAGTTGACGCTAAAACGTGATAAATTCAGCAGCTCAGCGATCAGTTATCCGCTGATATCCACGTCATCATCCAATGAAGTTTTTATATTAATTCGTTTCTTCAATGGTTAATTAAAAGGAGCGTTGTAATTTGCATACACTGAAATAATACAAATTACGCTTATAACATCGTCAGTATTGCGCAACACAATAAGGAACTTAATTATACAAATAATAAAGTTTCACCTTGGTGAGACTTAGGACAGGTTCAACGTACTAAATATATTTAAATATTATATGTTAAAAATTAGTTGTGGTAATATTATGCAATACACAATTACAGAAGAAATGTAACAACTATCATGACATTAATGGAAATCATTAAAATCAAATAAGAATTTGTCATTTCATCGCAGAAAACAATTAAAATTAGATCAAATATATATTCATTTATATATTCTTTTTATTTTATTTAAACTTCATTGCCATACATATGCAAACGGCGGACTTAATGCCATAGGCATTCTCTACCAGTCAATCTGAACGAGTGTTAAAGAATAATGGTATGGCGATAGGGCAAAACGCTTTATAAAACATTTAGAAAATAACAGCGATTAAAATATATTTAATAAAAAATATGTATTTTTATACTAAACTTTTTTACAACTACATAAACTATACAAATAAAATACATAAATAAATATATACAGACATAATATAGAATAAATATAATATATAAGTAGATACAAACTATAAAAAATAACAAAGAAGAAGAGATTGCGTAGTCAGGTCAGGAAGTGTTCTCGTACTAGTTTTTTGAACTACATCTTATTGTTAGAGCTACGAATGTTGAGTGGTAGAGCATTCCACAGGCGTATGACAGTAACAGTGAAAGATTTGGATCCAAAGCCAGAGTGATGAGTGGGGATTTGTAGAGTAAGATTTCTGCATGAGCGAAGAACACGATAGTTGGAAGTGCCCAGAAATTGAAATCTAGATTTCAGGTACACTGGAGCACGTGGATCATATAAATATGTTATAATGTAAGTAAAATGTAAGTATCTACGTTATAATGTAAGTATCCACATATTTTCACGGATGAAGTCCAGATATAAATGGAGTGTGATAGATGTATGAGTAGTAGGTGCTTTTTAGACATTCTCGCCTTACTAAACTGCAAAATGCTTATTATGCAAGCATCAATAAATTAAGTTCTTTTGATGTGCTTCGGTTTTTAAGATAGGGTATCACGGTTTTTCTGCTCAAATTGGAGCACCCGTCTGGGACGAAACCTCCATCCTCTTGACTTTACAGAGGGTGTTCAGGGAAGAGGTCAGGATAGGCAACGGTGTGAGTGATATTTTTTGTATCGTAAGCGTCTATTGCTATAGCGAGTGGGAGGAGCTCGATAGTGCAGGTGGTTAGCGCATTTGGCTGCGATCGTTGAAGTTAAGCAACTGTCGCAGTGGTCGATCATTGGATGGGTGACCAAAAATTTACTATCTCGAGCTCCTCCGTGCTTCAGAAGGCACGTTAAACCGTTGGTCCCTGCTGCATTTGTAACCATTAGCACCCACCAATCCACATTGGGCCCGCGTGGTAGGTCATGGTCCAATCTCCCTATCTCATCTACAGGGAAGGCCTGTGCCCCAGCCGTGGGGACATTAATAGGCTGATAATGAAGGCCATCTATCGTCTATTGGCCATGGTGGCCTTACAATCAGGCGGGCCATACGCTTGTGTTAAACAAAAAAAGATTGTGTGCTCGGACCACACATCTGAAGTGAAACTTCTTTTCTTAATAACCTTACATAAAAAAAAAGGTAAACTCAAATTCACTGTACACAACTCATTAAAGTGTAGATGGTTGACATAATTTGTTTGTAATTATTATCGTATAATGGAAAGGACAGTAAAAAGGTTTTCTCAAATGATAAATCGTTGAACATATTGTTGTCCTATTTATTGTTGAATTTTAAAATACAAACGATTGCGGTGAAGCATCTTACATAATGTCACCACTGTATGTATATATATCTATATCTATATATATATATATATATATATAGATATAGATATATATATATATATATATATATATATATATATATATATATATATATAATACATAAAAAAAAAGGTAAACTCATATTACATACATATTACATAAAAAAAAAGGTAAACTCAAATTCACTGTACACAACTCATTAAAGTGTAGATGGTTGACATAATTTGTTTGTAATTATTATCGTATAATGGAAAGGACAGTAAAAAGGTTTTCTCAAATGATAAATCGTTGAACATATTGTTGTCCTATTTATTGTTGAATTTTAAAATACAAACGATTGCGGTGAAGCATCTTACATAATGTCACCACTGTATGTATATATATCTATATATATATATATATATATATATATATATATATAGATATAGATATATATATATAGATATATATATATATATATATATAGATATATATATATATATATATATATAGATATATATATATTGTCGCGTGTGACGCTCGTACGCTAGTAGTGTTACTTCGCCAAATTATCCTCCAACTTTCATGCACGTCGGGAAGAGCTGCGCACGCATCCCACACACACACACACACACACACACATATATGTATAGCATATGTGTGTGTACTATATGTATAGTCGTGTGACGCTCGTGACGTATTTTCGTTTGATCTTTTCCATAGGATTTTTCTATTTACACCCCGTCCGAAAAGAAGTTTCAGAACTTCAAAACTACCATTTGATGGTGTGGTGATTCTAATGGTGCGTAATGTTCCAGGGCTCCACAGGGTAGGTTTTGTGGTCGGCAAGATGGGGATGGCTGGTATACTTGGTCTGTTTTATCTGCTGTTTTCGCAACTGGTATTCACTTACACACGACATCAAGTGGAGTGGGATAAGTTTAGGCGTGTAAATAAATAAATTATTAGCCTCCGTAAGTTAAGTTTTGATAAAGGTACTTACGACTCGTTCTAAGAACGTAAGAAGAAAATGGTATAAGGGAAAAAAACTCTTGAAAAGTCAAGACAAGTAGTTTTTAGACTTTGTAAAGACGACAGTACGCCTTTTTTGACGGGATATCTAAATTACTTAATTGTAGGTTACCCTTAGATCTTCAATGATGCTAATTGCACGACGCTCTAGCCTATTAAACACAAACAAAGAGTTAAGTCATCATCATCACACTATTAATGTCCCCACTGTTGGGACACAGGCCTTCTCTGTTGATGGAATAGGGAGAACGGGCCTTGACCTTGACCACGCGGGCCCAGTTCGGCTTGGTTGGTGCTATCGACTGCAAATGCAGCCGGGACCACCGGGCTTGACGTGCCTTCCGAAACACGGAGAAGCTCAACATAATAAGTTTTTGATCACCCATTCAATGACCGACCATTGCGAAAGTTGCTTTACTTTCACGATCGCAGGGCGAACGCGCTAACCACCTGCGCCATCGAGCTCCGAGATTCAAATACTTAGTCATAAAAAGAGAAATTTCAAACGTATGTTTGAAATAAAATCGAAGGCACTTCTGTCTTTTCTAACAAAGTACATAAAAAAAGACGCAACTTCATTTGAATATTCCTTACAATATTACTCACAATAATCAGTATTTTTTTAAATATTTATGCGATGTTAAGTGTAGGTTGTGTTACATACAGAGGGTCACATAGATAGTGGCATAACGTCTGCTAAAATTACTACTTAAAAAATATTACCACAATATTAATTATCACATCATTAATGACTCCGATAGCCCAAGATTGGGCCCAGTCTGTCCCGCAGATATACATATAAAGTAGTTCATCTGCTTTCGATCCGTCCAGTGACATTGACGTGTGAGATAATGTAATAAAAACAAATGGACGAAGCTGTTGGCGAGTTCATAAAACATGTAAAATTAAATAAAACAAATTAAATTAATAAACTACAGTGTGAACAAAAAAAAAGACAAACCGATTTAAATAAAAGTTAACATTGCGCTGATATGTCGTTTCCTTTGCGATGTTTGAATTATAATATTTTGCAAGAAGGTGCCGTATCACATTTGTTTGTGCCAATTGTGTTTGTGGAAAATCCGTTTTGTTTTATTTGTCAATTATAATTCACTTGAGCGCATCCTCAATTAAACTGCTGTAAAATTTAATGCTAAAACAAATGTTTTCTGTAGAATAGTATCTGTTCGATAAGAAGGGATTTATGAGACCACCTACTGGGTTATAAAGGTATATTTGTTCGGGTGCATAGGAACGATGAAGTGGCAATGAGTGAAACGTTGAAAAATATTATGGAAGCTAGACTTGATAGTGACCAAATGTGTGAAAGTGACAAAGAAAAATATGATTATGTGCCTCCTGAAGGTGGGTGGGGTTACCTCGTGTGTGTCGGTCTATCACTTATATTCGTGAGTATTTCTAAGTGTGAATTTTATTTTTCATATAATTCACATTGTGTGCTTTAACGTGACAGAACATCATAAGTGTAACAATACAAGATACAGCCACAGCCTCAGGTGGTGTTACCCGAGGTTTTTTAAAGGTTCCCATTGAATTGAAACTTAATTGTGAGGAACATAAATTTCACAATTTACTAGGAAGAATCCAATTGATTTTTAACTTCATTGTGGTCAAAATAAAATTCACAATTTATTGGGAAAATTTGACCTTTTGTGATTATTATTTTGTTGTGAAACTGTCTGTAACATATAATATCTTAAAAATATCATCATCTCATTTTTTATTGTTAATTAAATCTTCTCAGCATTATGAGGTCCACTGCTGGACATATGCCTCTTGCATGACTCTCCAAGAAGTTCTTGATGCGGCGGTTCTGGTCCAGGTAGGCCCTGCCGTCTTTTTAATGTCGTCCGACCATCGGGCAGGTGGTCTGCCGGCACTTCTGCTTCCTGTGCGAGGTCTCCAAAGTAGGGTTCTGTACGACCACCTGTTGTCGTCTCTTCGAGATACATGACCAGCCCATTGCCATTTAAGTCGAGCAACCCGTTTACCTATGTCGGTAACTCGGGTGCGTTGGCGAATGTCTTCGTTTCGTATTCTGTTCCTCAAAGAGACGCCAAGCATTGCACGTTCCATTGCCCTTTGCGCTACTTTCAGGCGGTGGAGTATCCCGACAGTCAGCGTCCATGTCTCACAAGCATACGTCATTACTGGGAGAACGCATTGATTATAGACGCGTGTTTTCAGTGATTGTGGGATTTTGGACTTGAATACATCTTCGAGTTTTCCGAAGGCTCCCCAACCTATTAATTAAATAACAAACCATATTTAGACACACTTTAAACAAAACTGTAACAGTTTGCTTGTCTAATAAATATATTGTTTTTATGACGCAGAAATTTCTTTACTCGACTACTAATATCACCATTGACGATCACTAAAATACTATAAATGAAGCACTTTATTAGTCGCTAAATTATAAACTCAGCGTAAAACGGAAAATTACAATTCCTCACGTTACCAATCTAATGAATCGTCATATTGCAGATTAGGTAATAATAACTAAGTACTAAATTAATAAGTGTCAAGTTCTAAATGAAATGTAATACAAATTGAGCTACTGAGTACATTATAGGCACATTCAACATTTCCTTTAATAAATACCTAAATAAATTACAACCCGGCCGTGGTTTCGTACAATCTAATAAGGTTAGGGTTACCATATCTCAGGATTTGTCCTGAGATCTCCGGAGTTTTGGACTCTTCTCAAGATTGTGTAGCTTACAAGTTTGATTTTTTCACAGTTCCAAGGGACCATAGTCTTGAATAATATATGATTTAAATTTTAACACAATACCTCCGCGCGTTTCCGAGATAAAGGGTCAAAACCATAGGATTTTTTAATAAAAAAGGTAAATTTAAAAAATCAAAAAACCTGGCTGCTTTAATATTATTTCAAATAAAAACTGAATAGAAAAAAAAACAAGTCTAGTAGTTTATAATTCTGTTAAGTAAGGCACAAAGCTACTTTAACAGTCGGGATCCATTAGATATTCAAGGATGGATGATTTTTTTTTTCAATGATGGGTCCCTACTGTTAAAGTAGCTTTGTTCCTTACTTAACAGAATTATAGACTACTGGACTTGTTTTTTTTCTTTTCAGTTTTTATTTGAAGTAATATTAAAGCAGTCGGGTTTTTTGATTTTATAATTTACCTTTTTTATTTTACACTTTTTAGTTAGGATTATAAGACGGTATATACTGCAGTCATGTCACTTCAATAAGGCAGTTAATATCTCGGGGATTAAAAAGTACCTTGCGGTGATCTAAACGACACCTTATGGGCTTCAATTTTCGCAGAAATATGTGAAGTTAAATCAATTCCTTACCTGTATATCTAATTCATGTAAATAATATACTTAACATGTACTTATTTTCAGTATTTATTCAAAAGTCATCTTTTGCTTATGTTCTTTTAAGTAGTAAATATAAAATTCATTTACTTTTATTCGTCTACTATCTAAAATTGGCAGTGGCTGTATGCAACTCTAAATTGTGATATATACAAATGCAGTGCATATCCTTGTCTCATAATTCACAGAACCAAATATGTAGGTGCCAGAGGTTAAATATTATTATCCTAACTATATATACTAATAGGTGTTATAAAGAGCCAAGAGTTGTATGTGTGTAACAAATATAATTCATTCACCATAAGGTAGCTTCATTATTTAATATATTTTTAAGCATTAATCTCAATAAGTTGATTAATCTGCCCGATTTCGAAATGGAAGGAAAGGTTGCAAGTTACAGAATACCTATGCTGTTATCTTATTATCACCCTTTAGGCAGACACCTTAAAAACCCTTTTAACAAACATAATAACTGACCTCTTATAAACAAAACCATTAAGAAGTAAAAAATAATACAATATTGGTGTCGATTCTCGCATGATTCTCCAAACCTAAACTTAAATTTGAGAGCAGTATATCCTTTTCATTCTCTATACAGAATGAAAAGTAGAAACAGATGTTTAATTTAGTTTTAAGTTTAGAGAATCACGCCAGAATTGGCACCACTATCTACTTGTGCTATATCAACTCAAGCAGTAAACGATGACTCAGATCTGAGTCCACGTCCATGGCACCGACTCCAAATATTAATATGACTTTAAACGTTTTAAAATGTTTGTATTTAAATTTATTACATATTAGTAAAGAATTGTATTATTTTTTACTTTTTAGTGGTTGTGTTTTAAAGAAATCGGTTTTAATTTTGTTAAAATGTTTTTTTTCCACTGTTATAAATCAGAGTAACTTGAACTGAGTATAAGTTACTTCCCCTTTTACATTTCTTAAAATAAACAAACACGATACTGTTTTTAATAGAGGAATTCCGTTGTTTTCTCCGAAAGTACTCATCAGATCTTCACCAAATGAATATGGGATCATCTCACCAAAAAACGGATTCAAACAAAAATCGGTCCACGCATCTCGGAGATATACGCAAAAGACAATGTAATATATGTATATAAAGTAACTAACGAATTGAGAATCTCCTACTTTTTAAAGTCGGTTAAAAAGAGTGCGCCTTTACAAAAACTAGATACAGATAATAAATAAATACATATTTTTAACTTTAGCTATTAGCCTAGTCCCGTAAAGTAAGTACTGTAAGGCTAGTGCTATGGGATTAGTACTAGGGTAACGGAAAGTACATACGAGTTATACAAATCACCACATTACAAACCCGAGACTTCTATGTAAGCAAGACCTTAAAAACCGGCGTATGCACCACTAACACATCCATTATGTTTCTCTTAAAATAAGTGTCTGTTTCTTCATTAATAACTAATTCTCGGGAAAAAGGTGGCAGTTCATCGCCAGATAGTTTTAGATATCACAATTGACTGTTAGGAGACTTATCTTGATATCTGCACATGAAATTAATCAGTTGACATCATTAATAATTTACTATGGCTCGCAACCTAGCATGAGGGATTCTTATAATCAATCAATCAATCAAAATCGTTTATTCAGCACACTACACGGAGACAGATAAATTGTTATACTTATAACTTACAAAATGACAATTAGATACAGACATTAATAAATACCACTTAACATATACCATACTGGCATCGATTCCGGCACGACCCCCCAAACGGAAACTTAAACCTGACAGCAGCATATCCCTGTCACTACGTATAGTGAATGAAAAGGACTGACCGATGCCAAATTCAGTCCTAAGTTAATAGAATCATGCCAGAATTGATACCTATACCACTCCGTATCCACGGCTGCGCTGAAAAGGGCCCAGTTCAGCATAATGTCGGTGCAGTATGCACTGGCGCTGATTTTCAACTGGGTCCTTTATCTGACAAGTGGATGCCAAACACTAATGATTTTTTATATACATAATTATATAATTTAAAAGAAAATAATAAAGAAGCATACCTACATCAGTGTTCCTTTATTTACACACCAACTTGAACAGAAATAAACATTTAAAATTTTCATTTCCATGTTTTTAATTATTATTTCTTAAAATATGTTACAAAATTAATAATCGTATTCGAACAATTTTGACATTGAATCCGAATCACGAGAAATCAGAGTAGGTACAAAAATTTTTGGTCACACACCCTATGACAGACCATTGCGAAAGTCGCTTAACTTCCACAATCGCAGAGTGCATTTACCGCTGCATCATATACAATATCGCAAGTGTTATGACTACTCATAACACTTGCGATATTGCCGCGTCAATATGCGCTTATCGGCTTGGTGAATTATGGCCCGTTCTCACTTTTCTGCCCTCAATGAAGAACTGGAGCTAGGGTTGCCAGATTGTCGGGAATCGTCTGGATTCTCCCGACGTTTCGTGTGATCTCCTGACTCCCGATAAATAACGAAATCTCCCCTGAACAGCTACACGAGACGTGTGGCTCATGCAATGCACCGCCCCTACCAGATTCACTTTCGGCTTACACTTCAAATTTAATTTTATTGTAAATTAACTGAGTGCAGCAACAGATGACAACATTAGCACAAAATCAGTTGAAATAAAAATAATACTAACTGCTCTATATAAAATTAGCTCTATAGTAAGTACCTATAAATGACGATTTTTATTTACCGTTAAAGGACTTCATATTGAAGCAACAATTTAGCTGTAAACATGATGGAAAGCAAAGAAGCAATTCTCATTTCGTACATTGAGTAAAATACTTTCCGAGATTGGTTCTACTTCGAAGTCCTTCCTTTAGGCATGTTAAAAGGGAAAGATATCGCATAAATAAAGCATTCAAATGATATCTTCCTGCTGATGAAACAGGTAATAGATTCAAAAGCCTTATTCATACCAAGAACATTTCAAACAACATTCGTTTCGTATGATCAAGTCTGATAAATTTCTACCGATTTACCGATTAGGTTGTATCCTAAA